TCTAGCCTCAGTTTTCTCATTTGTAAAATGGGGCTGCTGGTATTAGCTAGGGCCCTACCAATGAGCTACATTTAGGGACAAGCCAATGCCTGAACGCAAGAAATCACAGCAGGTCCAACAGGGGGCTGTTGCTGGGCCAGGGATGCTAGAGACACTAGAGGGACCAAGACAGTCCTGACCTCAGAGCCTAGGGCAGGAGATAGCCCTGCCACCTGCTGTGGAATGCCAAGTGCCACGGAGAGAACTGGGATACGGCCCACTCACACACCACACCCGGCTGGGGAGGAGGGACACGGCGGCCTCCGAGGCTTCTATAGTCTCTCTGGACCCGCCTAGAAAACAGAACATCAGGCCTGACCTCAGCTTCCCCATGACTTCTCTCTAACACAGTGATGATCTGTTACACTGGAATGAAAGTCATCAAAGACTTACTAATGTCTGGCCACTCATTCATTCTATCATTCACTTCCTCTTTTAATCAGCCACCAACCAACCAGGCTTTATCCCCAGGGGTCTGGAAGGGGACAGAGGTGACTTGGACACAGGCGTTGAGTTCTCAAGACATGGCATAGCATCTGTACTCAAATGATTCTCAGCTCCATAAGAGAGGGAAGAATCCCAAATCCTACTAATTGCTAGGGGATGGGGGTGGGGGGAAACCAGCCACAAGAAGCAATGGTGGTTCGGTCAATATGAGTTGTTAACTGTGACTCTCCCCCTTGAGCTCAGCGGCTCATATTATTTGTTTGTTTGGTTTTGGTTTTTGAGACTTCATGAAAGCTGTCCTCTCTCCTCCCACCCAGAAAAAGGTAAACAGGAACAAATGTTTGCATGAGATTCCATCGAATTCTCACATGCCCTGTAGTTACCAAACCCAGGTTAGGAATCCCTGCTTAGCTTCCCAACCACTTCAGATCTGTGTAGCCTTTGGCAATGGCCAATCTTCTCTATAAAAATGGGATAATACTACCTCCCTCCCAGAACTGCAGTCAGGATTGGATGAGGCGGTGTTTGTAAAGCCTCAGGCCAGGCCTGATACACAGTGGATACACAACAAGGTGTACAGGAAAAGGAAAAGATGGTAGACTTGGATTCTGCCACTTAATTGGCTGTGTGACATTGAGTAAGCCATTTACTCTCCCTAAGCCTCCATTTCCTCATCTGTAAAATGGCACTAATAATCTCTATCCACATCATCCAGTCATAAATGAGATTCCCGTCAGGAAAGCAGCTGGTGGCCATACCAATTAATATATGTTTGTTAAATCTCTAGCAAATGAAATCATCAGTAAGCTTTATATTTAGACATGTTACTTTGGCTTACCACAAAAATATGCCTACGAACACGCCCACAGCTGTTATCTAGAGTCAATATGAAAGTGGCCAAATCTAGGCGGTTCCTGCATCTTTCAGTAAAACTACTCCTTACACAACCTCCTTTACGAAAGGTCCCCACAATGCATCCTCCCCAGAGGCCAGTACTAGGAAGGCTCTCATATGCTATGCTGACAATCTGGTTTGCTTCCTCTTTTGCAGCTGACAAGCTCCATGACCCGTGTGCTTCTTTTTTATGTATTTATTTTTTTCCCTTGGCTACTGGGAAGCTCTGAGCTAAGTAACCTTCCTTAGCCTCAGTTTTATTCCCGTGCCCTAGCTGTGCCTTACATTACACAGTTCTTACAAGGTTTCATTACATGGGTCTAATGCTTTCACCTTCAGCTTGTCAAGAGTTCAGGGGGCATGTATTATAAACTAGTATTATAAACTTCTCAGGGCTTTTACAGAAACACATGGAGTTTAAATTAATAAAATCCACCACCCATCTGTCAGTTTGTTGTACTCTGCTGGCTTGTGTGTTGCTCGCGCACAATGTTGGAAGCTATGCCACTGGTATTTCAAATACCAGAAGGGTCACCCATGGTGGACAAGTTTCAACAGAGCTTCCAGACTAAGACAGACAACGAAGAAAGGCCTGGTGATCCATTTCTGAAAATCAGCCAGTGAAAACCCAACGGATCACAACAGAACACTGTCCTATATAGTGCTGGAAGATGAGCCCTCTATGTTAGAAGGTACTCAAAATACACAGTGGCCGCAAAAATGAACTGAAGGCATACCAACAATCATGAAGATGGCACAGGACTGGACAACATTTTGTTCTGTTGTACATGGGTTTACTATAAGTCAGGACTAACATGACCGCAACTAATGACAACAACAATACTTAAATATCCTCCCACCTTTAAAAAAGCTTTAAGGGTCTCTGAGTGTGTTTCAAGAGGCACATGGGGGTTAAAGATCAAGTAAGTAGATCTGACACCAAAAGCACAAGTAACAAAAGAAAAAACAGATACACTGGACTTCATCAAAATTAGAAACTTTTATACAAAAGAGACACTATCAAGAAAGTGAAGAGACAGCAGAGCCAACATGGTGCTACAGACAGAAGCACCACGCCGTCCCTCCACAACAGAGACCTGAAAAACTAAGTAAAACAGAGACAAACGTCAATCCTGGAACCCTAAGTGTCAAATGAAGAGATAAAGAACTCAACCAAGCACTGAATGTAATAAGAAACCGACAGAGAACAGAGAGCAAGGAGAGTTACAAGTGGAGGTCCCCTATCAGCTAACGCAGCAGGGATCCACCATCTTGAAC